TGTGCGTGCGCGCGCATGAGGGTTGGAGACGTCAAAGGTTAAGCGATGTTAGAGGAGGTGTAGGATGTCCGGGGGATTACACCTGCGTCACCAGCCTACGCCTGCGTCACCAGCCTCCACCTATCTTCACGAGTGGAACCACGATCCCGCCTGCTCGTGTTTCCTGGTGCTGCCACTCTACCCTCTACCGACGTCCGGCCACACGGACGTGACCGAGGTCCACGTCATTTCCGAAGAAGTGGTATGGGACAAAGCGTCGGGGAGGGCCCGGATGGGTGACCATGAAGCCCTAGCATACTGACCCGTGACGGACAGGTGGAGATGGCCGGGGAGCTACAAGCTCACGTCACCCGGGAGCGTCATCAGCAACAGTGTCCCGTCAATTGTTCTGCTCCGCTGCCTTCTCTTTCTATTCTATTCTCTACCATTTTATTCTCTTTCCACATTATACTTTTCTGTCTCGTTATTTCTTACTTTCTTGTTGGTTCTGCCCCCCCCCCACCCGCTTCCTATGAGGGGACGCCTGGGTGGGGGTCACACCTGGCTACTCTCCCGTGTAATGTGCTCAACCATACAGGAGGAGGACAGTCACATGTTAGTACAGTTCCTGCAGGCGGCCAGTGTTGCCATCCAAGACAGTCTGGTTCTCTCTCTCTCTCTCTCTCTCTCTCTCCTCTCTCTCTCTCTCTCTCTCTCTCTCTGCCTCACAGGTTATCTTCACCACTTTCAACCCGTTTTCTTAAAAATAACGTCACTTTTGGCTCGTATGCGCTATGGCCAAAAGTGGACGTAATTTGAAATGAAATAGACTAACAAAAGTGATGTACTGTCCCGTTTTCTGTTTGAGTCGTCCGGCTTACTCGGTAAACTTAGAAGAGGAAACTCAATTAACGGTTTTCATAACGTTTTGAAACTTAATGAGAATTTCCTGCCCACCTAACCTATCAGAGGACCCTTAACTTACTGTTGTTGAAAACAAAAATCCCAAATTTTTTTCATTTTTTTTTATTTTCAAATTACGTCCACTTTCGGCCATACGGGCAAACGGCCAAAAGCGACGTTATTTTTAAGAGGACAGGTTGTGGTCGTTTTCTTCTCTCGTATATGTATTAGTGTAAATATATATATAATTTATGTATCGCCATTGCTTTCAAACCTGTACATGGAATTCTTCGAAAAGAAATTTGTTTAAAAAATTACCCCTGGAATCATTACAAGGTTTACATATGTTCATGACTTTTGTGTATATGACCTACAGATGTAAACACAGACGAATTTGTAGTCAAACTTAATGATCAAGTCACCTCTATAAAATTTACTATGGAGACTGAAATTGATAAATGGTTTGCCATTCCTAGATGTACTTATTCATAGAGAAAATTTTCCTCCAGCTACGGGCTCACCATAGCCCGTGCTATTTGGAACTTGTTCTGAGTAGCTGAATCTATAACAACATGACTTGTAAATTATTCCTTCTGAAGATGTATTAATATACGAAAGTACTTGAGGAAATTCCTGGTTTCAATTCTTCCTCCGTGGTCTGACACTGTCACATTTTTCATCACGTGTTAATTTTCGTGATTTACACACACACACACACACACACACATTTATTATATATATGCATATATGTACATGTATATATAACATTAGTAACTGTGAAACTAGCTCCACAAGATTGTCTCTTGCATAGCTAAACAAACTATGGTTCACTTCCTGAACCCATTATGTGCTTCTGTAACCCTTTTCACCACCGCCCACGGGATAGGTATGGGTTGCATAATAACGAAAAAAATCAATCTTGTGTTGGTCGTCTCTGGTGCAGTATGCCCTCCCTCCCTCCCTCCCCCCCCCCCCCCCGCTCATTTTCTGGATAAGGGTACCCCAGGCACCCTTACCCAGGCACCACTGGCACGCTGGCCGGCACCCCACCACCAGGCCGGGCCAGAGGTGGGTGCTCGCCTCCTCCACACAAGCCTCTACTCAGCTCATATTTAACGGTATTACTCTGAGAGATTATCCAATTTATAAGTGTCTGGTGCCAGGCCAGGGTGTGTGCGTGTGTACTAGCCTTGCTGTACCTGTGGCGTTATAACTGTTCTCACGTTCGAATTCTTTGTAGAATCTGGCCTTACGGTTGTGGATGGAGGTGGTTTCCACAACTTGTTTCAGAGTACTCCACTTGTTGACCACCCGTACAGGGTACAAGTATTTCCTTACATTTATATGACTCATTTGCGTTTACAGCTTCTACTTTTATCCTCTCGTCCTAATTTCTTTCAATTTCAGAGGCTGTCCTTGTCTGTTCCTCTCAGAATCTTATACATTGTGATCATATCCTCTGTTCCTTCCGTAATCTCGAGTTGGAAGATTTACTTCCATTAACCTGTCCTCGTAGCTGAGCCCTCTTACCTAAGGCACCAATGTTGACCAGACCACACACTAGAAGTCGAAGGGACGACGACGTTTCGGTCCGTCTTGGACCATTCTCAAGTGTGTGTGTGTGTGTAATGTGAGAGAAGCACACACAAACACACAACCAGCCTGTCGATTCTCAATCGACTTGAGAATGGTCCAGGACGGACCGGAACGTCGTCGTCCCTTCATCTTCTAGTGTGTGGTCTGGTCAACATACTTCAGCCACGTTGTGACTCATCGCCTGCATAAGGCACCAATCTTGTTGCAAACATTTTTACTTTTCAATTTTGGTTTATGCTTGAAAGAATGCCGATTACATATCGGTGCTGCATATTCCAGCATTGGTCTAACGAAGGTTGTGTCAATTGCCTCGTAAGAATCCTGTTTTAGGTTTCTAAAAGATGTTCTCATTTTGCCGTTAGCGTTGCATATGCTGCCGATGTTACTCTGTTTGTGTGCCTCTGTTGTTACTGCAGGAGCCACATCCACCGCCTAGTTAATATTTTTCTGATTACTTTGGTTGTCCTCTTATGGCGTAGATCCCTCCTCACTTTCTTTCTCCCTTTCCTATCAAATTTAAATTTAAATTTTGCCCCGAGGGGCGAGTTTATTGGGCAGCGCCACTCATCCTGTGAGTGAACACACCGCCATAGCAGCATGTACAACACTTCCCAGTAGGAAGAAAACCCGCTGGGTTGTTCATCCTGTCACTTATACCCAGACACAGCTGGGACTTGCTTAACTGTCTCAAGTGAACAGCTCCTCAAACAAGAAGATTAACATCTATCAACCCTTAAAAGCTTACGTTATCTTGCGGGTGCAAAATGGGGAAATCTTTTTAAGAACAGTATCAATATTTGACAAATAGTGTTTTCCTAACTCAAACAATGTGGGGTTTATTATTCTACACATATTCCTAATGTCTCTCAAGTGTTCACATTCACGTAGATAGTGGTCATGGCGGTGTCCGTCACTCTCATCACAGATTCTGCAACTTCGCTGATCAACTGTTGTTTCCATTCCATATCTCCATAGATATTTGTATCCAAGACGGATTCTCTCCTTTCCTATCATTACCTTACACTGGTTGCAATTGAATTTCAGCAACCACTGTTTGCCCACTCCTGAAGTTTGTCTACGTGTGTATGTGTGTGTGTAATGTGAGAGAAGCACACACACACACACACACAAGCAGCCTGCACGCAATCAATATCCATACAACCGCATGGGAGTGTTTTCCTTTGCTAACGCAACGTGGAGAGCTGTGTTGAGGCTGTGTTGCAGGTGTGTTGAGGCAGCAACTCTCCCTCGAGGAGCTGGCCATACCCCGCCCCCCCCCACCTGAGGTACTCTACTCCGATGCCGCCTCGAAACTGGTTGATCCCCCGATTAACCCCCTAACCATACCCCAACCCAACCTAGAACCCCCCACAACCAACCTCCCTCTACCAAACCCCAGACCCACCCCTTGGACGACCACATGTGAGCAACTAATCAAAAAGATTTTTGTTTTGACTGTGTAGATGACATAACATAGTACAAGATGACTATATATTGTTTTAAATATGAAGGCTGATGAGAGTACATGGCAGTGTGTTAGTAACACTTGTGTTCTTGCCCACTTTCCCCAAGAGCTGCCGCGCCTCTGATAGCCACAGAACTATTGCCCTAAACATACTATTAAAGAAGGTATTTGATTATCTACTCATTGACTTTCTAGCTAAAGAACTAGACACTCTGGCTTCCAATTTGCTTACCAAGCTGGTTAGTCAACAACGCTCTGTAGCTTAATGGAGGTGAGAGGTATTCCGTACTACAACTCCACACACCTGGCAGGCCCCTACTCGCCTCCCCGGGGGGGTGTCAACACCTGGCAGGCCCACACTCGCCTCCCCGGGGGCGTGTCAACACCTGGCAGGCCCCCACTCGCCTCCCCGGGGGGGTGTCAACACCTGGCAGGCCCACACTCGCCTCCCCGGGGGCGTGTCAACACCTGGCAGGCCCACACTCGCCTCCCCGGGGGGGCGTGTCAACACTTGGCAGGCCCACACTCGCCTCCCCGGGGGGGCGTGTCAACACTTGGCAGGCCCACACTCGCCTCCCCGGGGGCGTGTCAACACTTGGCAGGCCCACACTCGCCTCCCCGGGGGGGCGTGTCAACACTTGGCAGGCCCACACTCGCCTCCCCGGGGGGGCGTGTCAACACTTGGCAGGCCCACACTCTCCTCCCCGGGGGCGTGTCAACACCTGGCAGGCCCATACTCGCCTCCCCGGGGGCGTGTCAACACCACAGCTCGTGCTGGCCATAAGTGATCTCTGGCGTGTACGGGTTTCCAGTCTCGTTCATTCACTCATCCCGTGTGAAAGAAGGTAGGTCAAAGGAAGCGCTTAGTGTGGATCAAGGAGCGGCTGGCTTACGTAGCAGCAGTCATCAGAGCAGAGCAGGTGTGGGGGTAACACACAGGTGCTGGCCAAGCTATAACACACAAGGTCCATTAAAACAGCCAACAGCCCAAGCTACACCGGACTAACTTCATGCACCAAGTGTGAAGGCAGAGACTCAAGAAAAGAGGGCCACTCACAGGGGTATCTGGGTGGTGATGGTGATGGGGTCGCTGGTGCTGATGTCCGTCTCCGTGTCGCTCACGTCCATCCACTCGTCCGAGGTCTCGCTCTTGCCCTCTGTGGGGGAGAGGGATGGGGAGGGCGCCCCCTCCCCGCCCCCACACTCCCCTCCCACCACCGCTGCCACGCTCCCTCCTGCACAACACAGAAAACGTACCACTACACTATATTCATAAGCATATACTAGCCTAAACCATACAATTATTTATCTAACAAATTTATTTCAAAAATCGGAATGCATAAGTATATTTCATGAACATATATAATGCGGCAATGATTCAGTCATTGAATATCAAGCGTTCAAAAAGAATTCAGAATTTATTAATAAATAAAATAGGAAATAAGTATAATCCGGACAGTAAGTGATGTGGCTGGAAGTAACCCCCCAAGCTGGTATGGTGTACCGCTTGCCTTCTCTCTCACATGATTACCTTATATAGTGACTGCCGGCCGTTCTTCACCCGTGATAATGGTCCAGGACGGACCGAAACGTCCTCACTTCGTGTATACAGATGTGTGGGAGGGCTGGCCGACCAGCTATGCATGATCTCATAACACAGTGAGCAGTTTGATACAAAGAGAACACTTATCTGTATGGAACTCCGGAACTGTTCGTCTTGCCTACATAAAGTGCCACCTGCCTGACGCCGGCCTGCAGGTGTTGTGCTTCCCTGGCCCTTACCTAACACTTGCCAATTAAAGTGATAACATTACAGGTCTTGTTGGGATTTATATTTGATGCCCAGCAGAACGGAATGTCCCTCTTACCATATATCCTGGTGTGGATTGTGGAGCCAGGAGTGCTCGGGGTGGTGGGCGTTGTGGGCGTGGTGGGTGCCCGCAGGGTGGGCGTTGTGGGCGTGGTGGGTGCCCGCGGGGTAGGCGTGGAGGGCACAACGGGCGTGGACTCTAGGGTTCCTCCAATACGGGTGAGCTTGTAAGAAAACACTTCGTGGACGCCTCCCTCGGAGCCATCTGGAAAAGAATGCACAAATTACTGGGCGATGCACCGGTGGCGAGGCTGTGGTGCCCGCGCACACTCCGCCTCCTCCAGTTAATGAAATATTTAACACTTATGATGATAAAATCCTTGACACCCGGGATGGTTGTGAGAGGTGAGAGTAGTGAGAGGTGAGAGTAGTGAGAGCCCCGAGGGGCGGCTCACCATGGTTAACGCGCCCAAATATTCCTGTCACGTGTGTGTAGTATATGCCTGTAGTAATTATATATAGCAAATAATCAATTTATGATTTTTATTATTTTCAGATAGTGAAATTGTGTTACATTTTTTTGATTTTTTAAGCAAAATTGCATATTTACTTGAATATATATATAATTTCATTAATTAAATTCAGATTTTGTCATATAGAGACGTGAAGTGGTCGCATTCTGAATTATTTAATATAAAATGCTTCTGATTAATCTTGCCACTTGCTCCTTAATTCTTCATTGATTATTTTCTGCAATACAAGAATAATCTCTATATTATATAATAATTGTCAGAGAAACATTATATGACCATTAAATTTACCATTGGTGGTGACAGGAAGCCTGCCACGGTTACCAAGGTCCCCCTAGCTAACGTGTGACCTTGTGCAGAATGCTAAAATGTCTAGCTGTTGCTACCCACAACAGCTGCCTAACTCCCAGGTACCTGTTCACTACAACCCATCCTCCACAAGTGATGGCACCTATGCTAAATGATGAAGGGATCAATATAACATAGAATGTTGAACTCTATAAATGTTCATGTTTTATACCACTGGCTTTGCAGGGTCCTGAGAAAGGCAACAAGCGAACCTAACATCTTCCAGACTAGTTTACTACAAATGTGTTAAATTAGGAAGAAAAATAGCTTATATGAGGTCTAGGCTTGCTTACTTTGGCCCTTGGACTGTTTAGGCTGTTGCAGTTTTTGTACAAAACATGACGGCTTTTTGTGTATGCAACACTCCAAATTTTGTCATTTCCATCCCCCAGTCACTACGGGCACTACTGTTTGGAAGATGGGTTGATTTTACTGCTAGGTCAACAGATACGTTATGTTTAAACGTGCCCAAACGTCTCGTCTCTCCTGAGAGTAGAACCTAGAACCAATCGGCTATGAGCCGACTACACTAACACATAAAATAATATCTCAAATGCAAATTGTTTGCAACCCAAAATGTAAAGTGAACTAACCTTGGCTGTACTCAGAGGAAGCATCATCATCGCGGTCACAGACGTGAGTGTGGTCGAGGACGGGTGCGGCTCCCTCCATCTCTGGCACCTCTTCAATGCTGCTGACCGCTGGCCGGCCCTGTGGCGCGACGCCCGGGGGGTACACTGGCTCGTACGAGTGAGAGTTTTGTGAAGCGTTGTACATTGATATTTCGTCGTACATGTAGCTGATGGAGTCTAACTGATCCTCCATGACCACTGCAAATTGGGCTGTAACGATGCCTCCGTCGCAGTCGTCATATTGACTTGAGTCCGAGCGAGGAGGGTTGACTGGGTCGTAGCCTTCCGAGGGAGGTCTGATGGTGTCGTAACCCACAGTAGACGGTGCCCGTATGTCGTCGTAGCCACAGGAGGATGGCGCTCCTATGTCATCATAGCTGACAGCACTCACAGCACCTATGTCATCGTAAGCCAGAGTCTGGGTGTCCTCAGCACCTTGCTGCAACTCAGCATAGTTATGCCCTTCAGGAGTCGTCTCCTTGGCCTTACCTGATGGAGTGATCTTACCATACCTGTCCATTCTCCCGTATGTTCTCACACCAATCAATCTTATAAATGGAGAGCGTTCGGGTTCAGCTTCTTCTTGGATAGTTTCCCTAATATCTGAAACTTCAGAAGAAGTCGGAGCCTGTCCTCCGTCACTCCACAGAAACGAAGAATTAGGCCTAATACCCCTACCTTCCAGTTTTTCTCGATTTCGGTGAAGTTTCTCAAGATTTGGAGCATAAAGGTTTTCATAAATGTTTTCAGTTTCGTTACTACTGTCACTGTCGCCATTTGACTTGTCGGAAATTAATGAAATGTTAGAAGTTTCCTTGGCGTCATCTGACATGGACTCAGTAGGCAGGGCTGGGATTGGCGTTTTAGGAGGAGGCGGTATTGGTGTTGTGGCAGAAGATGGCGGTGAAGGAATGGGTGTCTTTGGTGGAGGAGGTAAAGTCATGGATTTCATAGACTGAGAGGGAGTCTGTGGTCTGTCATAAAGGCTGTCTGTGTCAAAGGTGAACACCATGTTCTCTGACTTCCTCATATTGTAAGGGAGAGTGAGGCTGGTGCGAGAGCTGAGTTGTTGAGGCGAGTCTGGGTGTTTGGGGAAATCTTTGGCCTTTGCTGATGCTAGTTCCTCAGCTTCCCTTGCTGCCTCAGCCTCCTCTTGGGCAAGTTGTTCTGAAACCTTATCTTTGTACTTTTTCCGGTCTCTGCTTCGTGATCTAGATCGTATACTCCACTTCCCGTAAGTACCTTCCTCCTTTTCCTCCTTCTTCTTGCTTTTGCTTTCCTTTTTAGACTCTTCACCAGAAGCTTTCTTTTCAACTTCTTTCTTTTTTTCTTCTTCCTTGGCTCTTTCTTTGTTTCTTCTACGCTCTTGGCTCTTTTCCCTGAGTCTCCTGAAAGTGAATCTCTCGTAATTCCTTCCTTCCCTCTCTCTGCCATCTTTTTTAGGCGAGTCACTTTTATCATCATCGTTTTTATCACCATCCTCGCCTGCCACTCTCTGTTCATCACAGGCTCCTTGATCCTTATCGTCCTTCTTTTTTTCTCTTCCTCTCTCTCTTGACCTACCTCTTCTATACCACTTCTCTCGATCGGCTGATGGAGATCTGTTTCTTCTTTCTCTCTCTCGCTCCTCTTTGCGTTCTGCGTCTTTTTCTTTGGTCTTCTTGACGGTGTTTTTTACAGCACTCTTGACAGCAGTATAAATACGACTCTCATTTGCTTTGTTGGTCCTCTTGGACTTAACATCAGAGCACACGGAGCTGACCTCAGAGTGAGTGTCATCGAGGACACTGCTACTTACTGATCTGGAATCGGGCTCAATGGCTACATCTTCAAGGTCATCATCAACAGGTAGTATCTTATCTTCTGGTTCAGTAAGCCCAGCTGATGCTGTGTGCTCGTTAGTCTGTGAAGGACCAGCCACAGTGTTAGTGGGAGAGTCAACTGGAAATGGGGCTACAAATCGTGCACCGCCATCAGTGCCTTTACTCTCTGATTCTAAAAGGTCAACAATACCCTTTTCTTCAGATTCCAGAATATCAGCAGCACCCTTTTCTTCAGTGTCTGAGCATGATTTGCTTAGTGCTTTCTCCTGTTCTATATCTTTGTCCTCGAGGTCTTCTATGCTTGCCTCTGACTCCAGGCTCATGCTCTGGGTCGTTCTGAGAGCTATTGCACTGTCTTCACTCCGACACGTGTCTGTTGATATGACTGTATCAAGTGAAGAGTCCTCTGGCGAGAGAGAGTGAAAACCTTGCACTGACGAAGTGGCAAGAGAGGTACTTCGGTAGTCGAGTGATCGCGCTCCAAAGAGTCGGTCTTCTTCATTAGATATGCCAGAGTCCATCGAGTCGGACTTGGCATGTCCTTCAGGTACAGGTAACACCTGATCCTTTGTATGTTTTCCAGGTAAAGTTAGCACGTGTTGGTCCTTTTCAGTTAAGTGGTAAATAGGTTTATCTGAAGTCTTTGCAGTCTTCCCATTTGTACTATTCGTCTGATGTTTCTCGACTGAGTAAGTTGTCTTTGGTATCGTGGAGTTAGAAGCTGTATCACCGTAAGATACTGTAACAGAATCAGCTACAGAAGCAGATGATGGTCCTGGGATTGTATAAGGCTCCTCCTCCAAAGTGGCATACCTGGCGGCCGTGGAAGGAGAAGGGGAGGGCAGGCGACTTCTGTACTTCTCCTCGTCTGTTGACTCGTCGTCCTTGTCAACAACATCGTCCTCAGAATCATCAGTTTCTCCCTTGAATTTCCCAGACGACAAAGCTGTCTTTATTTTTTCACATACTTTCTCTTCATCAGTTTTGTTGTCGCCAAGTTTATCAAGTACTAATGGAAGGTTTCTTGGAACAGCAGATTTCTTAGGAGAAGGTGATCTGGAGCCCATACTATTAACCTTCCTGGCACCAGCCACGCTCATGTCACCTCTTCGTTCCTCTCTATTCTTTTCCTCTTTTTTACTCTTCTCATTCATAACAGAGGCACCTTCTATGTTACTCTCCTTGTTATCTGGATCAAACCTCCCCGTCCTGTGTCTGTTCTTGAGTCTGGCACTGGCTCTCAGGCTCGACAACACTCGTGTCTTGTGAACAGCCACGTGACTGAAAGGTAGTTCAGATTTTGTAATGGGATTCCCAGCCTGGTTCTGGGATATTATGGTGTTAAATTTATTCGCCAAGGTGGCAACCGTACTAGGTTTAATAGTTACACTCAACCTGTACTCAGCTTTCCGAGCATTTTTTATATCTAGTCGTCCATTTTTAGAATCCTTTCTTCTCAGCTTGACAGCCTGACTCTTCACAAAACTCTCCCCTTCCATCATTTTGGCTCTTGAAGCAAAAGTTAAACTACTCCTCCTGCCCACACGTGATCCCGTCTTGAAGCTCTCTGACCTCTTAACGGAGTTGACTTTAAGTGAAGGTTCTGAGTCCTTCCTGGCCTTGTAGGCTGCCGCTTCGATCTTCTTCACTATGGGCGCCTTTTCTGCTGGCGACTCGTGCACATGAGCCGCCGTCGTCAACACCAGCCCATTAAAATCTTTCTCCTCAACAATATCCGGCTTGGAATTTTTTCTCTTGTTAACTTTAGCATATTCTGGAATAGTTTTACCATCTATCATGGTGGTAGCTGTTGGCATTGTGGTAGACGGTGATGTTAGCGATGACATTGATGTGGATAACCAAGATGTTGACGACGGCATGCCACCAGCATCTCGTCTCTTCCTCTGTGATGCTCGAGCCGAGGATCTGATGCCAGTACGGGTGAACCTGAAGGAACCCAGCCTCCCTCGTCTGAGGATCTCTGGAGTCTTCACCACCGTGATGTTTAACTTCGCCTTAACAAACTTATTTGAGCTTATAGTGATAGAGTCAAGGTTTTTACTGACCGGCTGTACCTTTGTGGTGGTACCCGACCTCAGCACGCTCACCACACTCTCAGGACTGGTGTCTCTTCCAGAATCCTCTTTAAGTCGATTATGGAGCAAAATTTTTTTCACTCCAACTTTTGCAGCACATTTAGACTCTGCAGAAACACTTCTGGTAAGCTTCTTCTCCCTCTCTTTCTCAGCTCCCTTTAAGCTCTCGGTAGCATATAAATGTAACTTGGAGAATGGCGAGGTGAAACCCCTGCCGCCTAGACTCCAACTGCTGGGAGTGGGACTACTCGGACTGGACCCTTGTTCACTGCTGGTAAAGTCCATGCCCTCGTATGTCAGGTTGTTTACATGGTTCTGGAACCTGGCCCGAACAGTATCGAGAGTGCTGGACTTGACCTGTGGGCAGAGTGCTGTAGCTCGACACGCAGCCAGGTCTGAGAGGTCCTGCGAGGTGGCTCTGGAGTGCTCAAGCGCTTGCTGATGGAGGACACTCGAGGTCGCCATCGAGGGCTGGAGAGTCTGGGAGCGGAGGGCTGACGTTGACGCCGCAGAGTACTGTAGAGTCTGGGTGCGGAGGGCTGGCAGGGGCTGGAGGGTGTGTGAGCGGAAAGCGGACACATTGGCCACCGAGGAATTAGACCAATCAGGTGCAGCATGCCGGAACCGAGTGGGCAGCGTCTCCACGTCGCTGCACGTGTCATAACGGTTATGGAGGAACGATTTTTGGTATGCTTTTAGCGGAGAATCAAACTTTGACTCATGAGCCGAGTGCATTAGAGAGTACGTTTTTAAGTCAAGATCAGCCAAGTGGGGACACGTGTCCACTTCCCCGAGACTGACACCTTCCTCGCTCTCCTCACTCGCGTCCGGCGACCCACCGTCTGCCTCGGTAACTTTCTTAGTTACATCGGCAACAACACCGCCACTTTCACTAGGCTCTTTGGAAGGCAGCACGACAACACCTGTTTCTTTGGTAACCACTTCGGGAGTCTCTAACACCGGAGATAATTGAGCTTGGCTATCACTGTCTGTGTACACTGTCTCAGAAACGTCACAATGCTTATTTTCTTCCTTCTTATCTTTCTGGGCCTTTTCTTTTTCCTTTTCACTTTTCTTCCCATTTTTATGTCCGCGGAAGTAAGGCAAGATGCCCCTTTTGACCTTCTTAGCCTTGGGGCTATTAGCTTGGGCAGAGTGAGGGGGGGCGTGGACCAGCCTCGTTGCCTCCTCTGTCTTGGCCTCTCCATGGCTCCTGGAGGTCTTGGGGTCGCTGGAGATCCTGGAAAACACCTTCGAGACCCTGGGGTTGCTCTTCTCCCGACTGGTGGCTGGCATGGCGGCCCCGGCGGAGTGGGTCGCCCAGTGGAGGAGTGTAGCGAGGGCGTGCAGGGGAGGTGTGGGGAGCGGCAGGGGAGGGCAGGGGCTGGGCAGGGACACGGCCGAACCTCGCCTCACTCCCCGCCACCCATCATACCAAT